GTTTTATTTAAGAAAGGACTTGTATTGCTAAAGTTTCTTCGGAAATAATTTTTACGGAAAATTAATTAACAAACGGAGGCATAACAATATTAAGCAAACTTCCTGTTTAGCAGACCCTACCTTTTACTCTGTTGGAAATTGATACATTGGAGAATATCACACTTATAATTCATTGTCAATGTTTAAGTTTAATGTTTCTGATCTAATAAAAATCATAACAGAACATATAGTTGGCTGTTTTACAACAGAATGTCTTAAATTAGATGAAAAATGTTCATAGAAATTCTAGACATTTTTTATTTAATTAATTTATACAGTACAAAGTTTTGGGCGATTTTTAAATAGTTTTCCAAGATACTATATAAATGAACAATAGCATGTTTCTGCCATAAATGTACAAGCACACTAATCCTTGTCATGTAAGTGCTCATTCTATAATGGCCACACTTTGAAATGCTATACATCAATCTGTAGAATAAGTAGTACGTGACAGGGTATATATATTAAATATGGACAAAATAATAGTCAAAATATAAGTACAAGTTAAGGTTTGGCTACAAATAATAAAATATTTCATTATTTTGTAATTATCGTAATGTGAACTGGAGAAAAATAGAAATTATAAAAGTTATAATAAACATAACTGATCACCCCAAAAATTTTTTTATTGTGAACATTTCACTGTATCAGCTTTATCAAGGAATAGCTATATCATACCAACACAGTCTAAGCTGTAAACTAGGTTAATATGATGCAACTATCCCTTGATAAACTTGATTCAGTGAAATATTGAGAATAATAATAAAAAAAATTAATAACTTTTACTAATGTGTAATTTTTATTTTGTTTTTCTAACAAGGTTAACACCACCAAAACAATATTTAAATTTCAGTGTTATATTTTTCATTTGTACATTCATAAGTCCAATGTTATGAACTGGGACACTTGAAAATATTTACCTGAGGTACAAATGAAGACTTATCTAGCAGGGATTAAGTGTTCCATTTCAGCAGTAACCAATGATTGAATTTGGCCATATTCTCTGTAGTTTCCAATACAGAATGAGAGATATACTCTATGCAACTAAGATTCCCAATTCTTACAAATTACATAATTAAAAAGAAAAGTGTAGGTTCAATAGGATGTCATTCACTTCTCTGGAAATGAACAAGTGTTATCCAATCATTCTTCATAAGTATAAGTTACACAAAACCAAAGTGATGGCTAGAATTGTTTTGCCCCAAGACATAAATAAAACCAACTGGTACAATTCTTTCTGGGTTCAAACTTGGTCAACGTAAAAATTCAAATTTACCCTCTATTACATTTCCTAATTAAGCCTCTTTGTTACTTGCAGCTAATACGTGAAAAGTAAATCAGTGTACGTGAGAATGACACAACAGTATATGTAAAAAACAAATGTTAGTGGGTAATAGGGGTGCATATTTCATTATAGTTGATACGATACGTATCTAGATACTGATGTCACGATACAATACGTATCTAGATACAGAAGTTTTACCAACAGTTTGTTAGTATTGTCTGTAATTTATTATCTATATTACTAACAGTGCTTTTTCAAATTCTCAGGTTTTTTTCAACTAAGTGGCAGCTGGCAAGAGAAGTAAAAAAAAAAAGTTGATATCTGTATCAATTTTGTTATTGTTGATTTGTTATGTTACTTTGTATGTAATGTTTTTGATAAAAGAAATGAATACAACATGTAGTACTCAATACTTATCTTCTTTTACTGAATCATTAATTTTTAACAAAAATACTTTATTAGAAATTCTGATTTTTTTTCCTGTACAAACTCATTGGACGCTGTATCGCTACAATCATATCATGGCTTCACGATACGATACTTGTTTCGCTGTATCGCCACACCTTTAGTGAGTAAGCGGTCTTGACTATTGCAAGTAAATAGTCATTTCTGTGAAGGCAGTGATGTGCAATTGGAAGAATTTGCATAGCAATTTTGTAACAAGGTATATGCATATAGTTTCTTTCACATTCATTTATGTCTGTTATTTCTTGTTCACTTTGTTCTAATTCACAAAAATATAACACATTTGTGATATTTTCAGGTAAAACCAATTTCTCCAAAGAATGAATAATATAGATCCACTACATAACAGGAGGTCTTGATTAGGAAATATTGTGAAGTAATTCTGGATTTCTTTGAAACTGAGTTTGCGCAAAGAAAGGGACTGGACATAAATGTAAACACACAGTGAGTGTATTGTTTAAACCCAAAGGACAATCACCATTAAAGGAGAGCCTCAGTTGTGGAAATCTTTCCAAATTTCAATAATGTTAAATACAAGATGAGTTGGGTTGTGTAGGATGATCAAGCTGTAGAACTGTATGCTCTATAGAAATCTGTTGCACTGAGGGAAAGATCATGTTTTGAACTTAAAATGGTGACATACACTTTTCCAGGATAACTATCCACGTGACTGGCCATTCCCATTAAAAAAATAGAAGAGGTTGTAACTTTGAGATATCAACTGACCTATCATTAGAGAAAACTGTTGTATACTTTCACATACTAAGTGCAATATTAAGGGAAGACAAAATGTTACCTCTGGTGAATGACAAAAAACAATAAGTAGCTAAACCGAAAGGAATTTAAAACTTTTTTCTGACTAACACGTTATGTAGAAACCACACACACACACACATATATATACTTGAATAAATCAAAAAATTTTGAAAAGTTCCTATATTAAGACAGAAAGGTAAAAAACACATGGTGTGCTGCATACCAGATATTCTTATAATTAAAATAATGAACTTAACTACATTTTGATTAGTTTTTTGTGAATGGTACTAAATAAAAAAAATAAAAAATCACCCAGCCTAAAACCTATTTTACCACAAATACACTCTACATAAAAATAAATTTAAAACAGTTTTTCCTTCCTTTATCAACACTATGAAGTCTAATAAAATACACCAATTTACTTTTTGTCTAAAATATCATTATAAACAAGTGTAACATTATAAACAACATCAATTCAGATACTCAAAATAATGTCAGTAGTACTTTTGTTTTATTAAAGGCAAATATAAAGCACTTAAATGTGTCATTAAATATACACTACATGATTTTTTAATCTAAATACCTTCTTTCTACAGATTCATAAATGTTGTCATACAAAACTGATAGGAAACATCTGGGGGAAATGTCTGCAACATTTCAGCCAATCCTATCAGAGCCAATAAATGAAGAAAATATACATACATTTGATATCATAAAACTATTACTAACTTGAAACTCAATCACTGTACAAAAGTCATCAGTATCAAAGACAAAATCAAAACAATGAAAAAACTTCTCACCTGTTGTGTAATGAGAAATAAAGATGCATATTATTACATAACTGACAAGTGATAAAAAATACACTGAAAAATTTTATATTGTAGAAAGCTTACCTTCACCTATTTTTTCAATTTTTGCATAATCTTCAAATGTTGTCATGATTCCTTGAATGAAACAAAAAAAATACACAATCTTAACAACTGAAAATTAGCATGTTAAAATGTGTATTACATAAAATATATATTTCTGTCAGTTTAATTGTACTTGATACAATATGACAGGACATAAAATACTATTGTATAATTTATTAATTATACACTATTAACCAAGTCAAATCCAATGGATTTATTTTCCTGTACTTAACTAAATACAATGTTTTCATTATCCTAAAATTACTGTATCTTACTAAAACTTAACATTTTCAGAAACAAAATAAATTTCACAAAATACAATTCTTTGTGTTTATTGAAAAGTTTCTTTGACAGTATTAGATACTGTGTTAAGCTCATCTCTAGCCACTTCAGTTAGCAAATATTTCATATTCATTAGTTATACAAATTTTAACTTCAAATATGTAATTTCCTTTTGTATGTCTACTGAGTCATAATACTCATATTACAAATGTAAAAGATCCTGTAGTGAACAAGCTTTTTTTTTAAATATTTTTTATTCAGGTGTGACTGTTTAATGGCTCACTGCAGCTGACAAAAGAAAAAAAAAGGTAAGTGAAACATACCCCTTTCAACACTCTAGAAATTCTGAAAAATCATCACAAAAGGTAGATACAACAGCAATGTGAAATAAAGAACATATAAGATGCATAAACTTTTTGAAGAAGCTATCTATGTCAAGATGACAGGCAATGGATTACCTTGATGAAAATAATACACAGGAATGAGCATTAGTCTTGAATTTCTTGGATTAAAGAATCAGCCATACTTGGGTTGAGTAACAACCAAATGTTCAGGGACAAGACATAATTATTGTAGTTAACAATGGTGAAAGAAAAGGAAGAATATTTGAAACATACAACTTTGTCTTGAAGTACAAAACATATGTAGGATGAAAGAGATTAAATAAATGTTACTGAGAAAAACTTTTCAAGAATCCCAGAGTTTGACATGACACTAAGAACGAAAAGAAGTAAATACACGAGTCAAAAGGTAAATTGTAGTGGAAACAAAGAATGCCTGCTGCAGCACTCAAAAATATAGCACAAGGACCATGTTACCTTAAAAAAAGAGAGGGAGAGAAAAAAATTGCTAGAATAAAAATAATTAGTTAAGTACGGCAGAAGTGAGATATCTATTTATACTTCATTCAAAACAGAAAAATTGAAGCAATCATTACATCAGTATTAACAGGATAGGCAATCTGTAGGAGGTATCAAACAAGCATAAAACTTGCAAAAAATGATTTTCAGAGCAGACAAGAGGATTTCAAGATTGGAAAACAAAGAACTCTGAAATGAGCAACATCATAGCAGTTGATTTACAAGTCATCTAAGTGACAAAAATCAATAGTCCTAGCTTGTTAAAAAAAAAAAGAAAAAAGATACATGGATAAACTTTACTGTTCACTTACAGTTCCTTGGCAATAAAAAGCCAAGGGCCCAAGTGTAAGTGCACAAAATCCTCTTTGATGTGAGGTTAATGAGGACCAAAAAAGATACCATTACAAGGAAGATGAGAAAAAAAAAATCTTAAACTTCAGGTATCAATAATCAAGCAATTGATAAACCCAGACAGAGAGAAATTCAGGTCATCCAACACACTTCTGACCTTATTTTCCACATTTCACAATTCTGGATGAGTGTTATTTAAATGAACATGTACTCCGAGAGATACCAAGTTTCAAAAGAGATATTATTACTTGACATCCAAAGAAAACAAGACTTTCATAGGAGTTTGAATTTGACCTAAATAGTTGTGCAAAAAAACCAGAAAGGTTTGGGGAATAGAGTCAAGATAAAGATGGCTGGAGACAAACTTATAAGTCAACCCATTAGAATGGCACTAAGAAACTGTTCCTGGGAAGTACAATAGAAAATCAAATTGACAAATCCTTGAGAATTTTGGAAAAAAATATAAACAGAAGTGGAACAACTGAATGAAATTAAGAATTACACTTTCGTGGTCATGCACGCACACACAAACAAACAAAAATGTAACATATCATCATCACTTATATTACATTTTTAGCCTTTTTCAATGCTTTCACTTACTCTAGATTTATAAGTTATTTACTAAACTCTGTTGTTCTTGTTAAATGTCAGCTTTTGGTCATAGTCTACATAACCATGAGGTCAGTCTACAAAAACGTTCATTTACTTTTCTCTGGCTTGTCAGTAGTTACCAGATTCTGCTATCAGCTGATTGTACCACAAGAGTGTCTGTTGTCTTAACTAGCTACTATTCAGAGCAAAATGTCAGTAAGAAATAAATAAAAATTAGTATTAGATAATGTATTAGCCAGGAATTCCATAAAGGTTGGTTACTCACGTTACCAAAGCTTCCTTCATAAATTCCTCTCCAACCTGTAGACTTTCTCGGTTCAAAAAACGAAAATAAGGTGAGTTACCATAAACAAATAATATTCAAGAAAACATCTTTTTGTTGAAAACTGCCTAAATAAACAAGTAGATAAGGTCAATATGTATGTTATACTGACCCTAAACAGTTCACAGGCACAAAACTAACAGAGCTGGACAATTAACTATTACCTATCTGCTTTGATTACATTAATTTGTGCCACATAAAATAATCTAACTTATAAATGTCATGAAAATAATTAATCAAAATTAGTGTTTACAAGTATTCCAACTATCGAAGTAATCAAAATATTGCCTTTAATATTTCTCATTATTAGTTTTGGTTAATTAAAGGTTGTTCAGCTTAATCAATTAGTGCCAAGACTCTTGAAAATAACAAACTAATCAAAATTAGTATTTCCAATTATCAGAATTTTTTATTATTCCAAGTTCCAACTATCCATGTCTCATGCAATAGGAGGTAATAAAAGTTAAATTTGGAAGCAACATGTGAATAATCATGTCATGAAAAAATAAGGCCAGAAATAAATAAAAAATCATATTTAAATTATTTCTCTATATCACATCTTTTGGTATTTTGTCTTACCCCAAAACCCATCTGAGTGAATTCACATAACATAATTGTTAATAGTAACTATTAGTTTTTTTTGCCTTGAGCACCCCCCCCCCCCCCCAGCTTAAATTCTCAGCAAATTTCTGCTACTTAGACAATTGCCTTATTTGTATTTATTTATTGCTTCTCAAATTGATTTTCCATATTACCCTCTGTATGAGAATAACTGATTAGTTTAATGTAACCAATTAATGATCCCGATGAGTAATCAATTATTAAATTACACTAATCACCAAACTCTTAAAAACTACACATTGTTTTTCTAAAATCTGCCTAAAAATTTGAATTTTTTAAAACTATTTGTTCTTATTATAAAGATATTCTATTATGTGTGTGTGTTAGTATCCAACACCCAGAGTTGGCTGGCCAAATTACGGTAACTGTCCGACAGTGTACGAGGGCCGTTTTGTTTAAGAATTTCTGCCAGATAGGGGGGAGGGGGATAAGAAACACCCTGAAATAGGGCACATTTCCATTTTTTTACAGGCTTTTGGCTTTGAATTTAAAGACACAAGTACTTATTCAGTTGAAATGAATCAATTATTAACTTCCACAAATAAGGGTGTACAATTAGCATCTAATGAGGTTATTAGGAATTTAATAACAAGGAAGGGGAACATTATCTAACGTTGTCCTTTATATTGTTTTTGCTTCCTTAACAGATACCCTCAGCTACATTTTATAAGCTAACATGTCACATGGATTTGATAACTTTCAACTAATCTTACATGGCAACATCACCAAAACACGAGGTTGAATGAAAATATCCTACAATGCTTTTTTTTTCTTTTTACATTCAGCAGATATTCCTGCATTCCTATTTTTGGGGAATTCCAGGTAATATTGTTTGCCACTTACACCATAAAACAACAAGCAAGTAACTAATCACTCCATAAAAAAAATCACCATTGTCTTCATGAAATGTTTGTTACTCATGTTACATGTTATTCCTATTACCAAAAGTAGTCTCATATTTAGTACTGGTTATGATTCATATTGGTAAAATTCTTTTTTTTTAATTTATTATGCACAACTAGCAGGACTGAAAATAGTAACAACAAACAATAATCCTATAGCAATCAGAAGTGAGATAAGAAAATTATCCCAGCATAACTCACACTACATGGTTGAGAACACCATAGCCTCTGGCCCTAGAGTGAGTATGGATTTTGATACATGGAGTTAAAATTTTGAGCCAAAACTTTTGATACCCAGAAATAATTAAGATATATTCCATGCCATCAATAATGGAGAAAAACAGATCTTGTTTTACATTTTTTTCAAGGAAAAAAAAAATATTTGTAACTCAGTCCAGTAAAATAATCCTATTCTTATTTCATAATATTCCACAGCAATCCAAGCAAATTTTAATTTGTTTCTACCCAAAAGTTAACACTATCAGTATGATTTAACCCCCAAATGACTCCTTGAAAAAATGAATTTTCAGCTTAATGTCCTTAGTCACATAGAATTACCCTATAACATGGATGAACAAAAAGTAAACAGAAGCATCCAAAGTACCCCTCTTCCTCATTCAAGTCTTTATACGCAAATAAAGACACGAGTTTCAAAAATACATCATCCAGAAATGGCAAAAGACAATGCAAGAGCTAAATTATCAGAACAACATATTAATTCCATACTCATCTGGAGACAACAAAATAAGTTAAATTATTTATATATTCTTCCATTTAAAGATAAAATTAAAAAATCTTTATCCAACAACAAAACCTGAAACAAATAGGAATAAGAAACCCAAACTGAGAAAAGGTATTGATGGCTATCGAATATATTATAATCAGGTCAAGCACACCTGGAAATCCACAACTTTTAAAAAGTATATGAACCACAAAGAAAAAGAAAAACAGGTTTTCCTTCCACATGAAAACAAGTACAGAATACAGTTATAATATCAAGGATTTCAGTGTTTCATGCTGCTGATTTAATCAACATAATCTTTTTAAGTTATAAGATAAGATTCCGAAACAGAAATACTGAATTTTATGCCATTATTAATGTTATATAGTTTATAGTTATACATAGATAATTACAGTTAACGTTGGAACTTATAATATGTTTGTTAAGTTTAGTTACAGTTACACTTAGGAGAACGTTAGTTTCTAGTTTTATCTAGAACAGAATTACCTAATTGTCGTGTACTCGGATTCAGACAGTTTTACTTTTTCTAGGTTTTCAGTTACTTGGCCTAGACTCTAGAGTGGCGAGTTCTACAGATTAATTGGGGATACAAATGTCACTATTATATTTTTACTTTTAGGGGTAGGTACTCACGACCTCCTATTTCGTAAATCGGCCTTCCAATTACACTACAAGTACAACTTAAAGACTATTTAATTACTTTTAGTTTACTGAACTAAACTCAAATAAACGTAAAACTTTGTACAATATAGATATATAGAGACTAATTCTCGATCTCTTTATTCTACTTTTACCCACTCTTCCTAACAAACAATTACTCTTTCAAATGTCCCACTGATAACGAGTTATTAGCTTCACTAACCAATGAAATTAAGCCAGATATACAGAGTCATCTGGCAAAAATAATTTCATTGAATATAATAATATCGCCATCTTTGCTTGTTGAGCAGTTAAATTATGTTGATACATTGTAAAAAAAAATGTATTTAAGAAATAATTTACTTTGTTTACGTATCCTAAATTAACACCAAATTACTAGAAGGTGATATAAGAAACAATTCTTATATAATAAATAGCAAACTATAACAAAGAACTAAGAATTTAATAAAAAAGAACCTTGTATGGTTTAGTAGTTAGAATACAGAACTACGGATAGGAAAAACCCATTTTCGAGCTCATAATATTATTGCCGAACCACTTTACACTTTCAGCTGTGGCTGCGTTATAACTGTGAAAGTCAATTCAGTTAATAAGCTAATAGCCGTTTAAATAGATTTGAAAGCAGTTTAGTTAGGGCCATCTACTGATGATTCAAAAAATACCACGTCACAGAGTATGGGGCTTTGTCTCTCTCTCCGAACTCTGACTGAGGTCGTTGATAAAGAAAGAAGCAAAACACAGAATGTACAAAACAACAATCTTTATTACCAAGAAAATAAGCACACAAACATCATATATAATCACAAACCAAGGACAAGTGTTTGTAATGAGTGTATTGAACTGATAAAAGAAATGTCAAAAATCTTTAATGGGTCTCTCTTACCAATCCATTAAGAGTTCTCCTTGTAAGATAAAAGAAAAAGAAATATAAACTAAAGTATTGTGGTATATGAATATACAACAATGTGGTTCAAGATACCTTTATTAATTTGTTGCTTTGTAGTAGGTAATACCTGTTTTGTATGGGATGGATATTGTTGCAATACCGCACATTATATCGATAGCAGTATCCTTTAATGGACATTCAGGTGATATCTAGAAATAATAGCCTTACCTGGAATGGTAATGCCCAATCGCGCAGATAGCACTCGTCACTCTGGGTAAATGCAATGTTTCTTGCAAACTAAGAAAAATTGGATTTAGTTTATTATAATAAGAATTGTACATTTCGTATTTGAGTCCAGTCTCTTTATTCCATTGAACATCACAACTCAGTTTTCAGAGATTTATAATTACTTCATAATCAGTTTCTTAACCAAATTTCCTGTCCAATTGCTTAAAGGTTAACTCATTTATACTTAAATATACCACAACATTAAAGTAAAAACAACTGCTGAAAGTTAAAAAATAAATACATGTGAAGTTAACTTCTTGCTGAAGGTAAACTAAGGAAAAGCTCTTTGCAAAAATCTACATTGAAATCTGCTTAACAGTGGAGAACCTGACTATAAATATTAGCAACAGGAGTACAGAAACAGACAGACTGCTCACGAAATGTTCATTGCTCTTGTGACCTTTGGCTACTGTGATTCAAATGCAATGTTATGGAAGCATTGAACCATTATCTGACTCACTGACAGAAAAGACAGCTGCCTTTCTCAAAATGAAAATATCATGAGCGAAGTAATAGCTATATTCTCTATCAGAGAACACACCTAATGGTCAATTAATGGATCCGAGTCATATTTGTGCCACAATAAGGAAATTTTAGCGTTTTATTTGAGTGACTATCTGAATTAAAACTGATCTGGAAGAAAATACAAAAATTAAAAAAAAACTACATATTGGTACCACTCTTGACCACACCTTTTCTCACCTCTTTACTTCCAGGCCGAACCAGCCATCCTTAATTATAAAATCAAACTTTAGTCATCTATTGCTCAAGGAATCAAATTCACTCATTTTTCTCTAAGTAGAACCACCCACCCCACAACACCAACAAGCACAATGGCAAGAACAGCTTTACTCAACAAAACAATAAAATGCAATACAGAAATCACCTACCCTTTTAGAAGGGGTAAGGGGTAATTTAAGAGACTAAGCATCAAACAAAAAAACCAAAAACTAACAAAAATACCTTTTAACCAAAAAAGACAAATGTAACACAAAAATAACCATTTAACATGGATGCCTATCCTCTTTAGGAGGAAGTAGCTAACACCAGTGCCTATACTAAAAAAACATTTTAAGAATGATAAGCATACTGTTACGACAGCGGAAGTCACGTGACCCTGGTAACACGTAATGAGTATCTAGAAGGATCAGGGAACATCACGAATAATCCAGTATTTGCTAGACGTCCTCTATTCCTGTATATAAGCGCGCCAGATGAAGCGAGACAATTAATCGGAACTGGAATAGCAGACAGAGAGATTGAAGATATAGACAGATAATCGAGTCAAGTCGTAAGTAAAGTATGTAAATCATTGTGAATTATAGCGTGTGTTTAAGCTAAAGTGACTGTGGAAATTAAGTGTATTGCAAAGTTGTATTGAGAAAGAATAAACTAGTTTTATTTAAGAAAGGACTTGTATCGCTGAAGTTTTTCGGAAATAATTTTTACGGGTAATTAACAAACGACCAGAGACGTAACCATACAAAAACACTCACCAATAACGAAATATATTAATTACAAAAAAGTCCTTTAACATCAAAATAGAAGTCACTTTCTACATTCTTAGTCCTCGTACTACACACACACACACTCATATATATATATATATATATATATGTGTGTGTGTGTGTGAATACACTTAACTATACGCAAAACACAAACAATACCTTATTCTCTTTTGGAGGGGGACATGTAGTACAAACACACACTAAATAACCCATTGAAATCAAAAATACCCTTATACATGTATTAAAATACATACGCATATATACTAGCAAAATTTAATTGTTAGATATACACGACTGTTTCCGTTTAAGTATAGCGTAAATGTTAGATTTAATTATTTTTAGATGCAATAGTTTATCGCAGGTTTGTTTACATAACTGTGTACAAATCATAGGTTGTGTAGTGTTGTTGTGAATTGGCGATTGTTGTATTATTGCATCATGTTACTAGAAACTTCTAAGTTTTCTCGTTGTTTTGATTGAGTATTATTGCATCATAATATCTGATTGTGTAGAATGTTCGAAGCCTCTAGCAGGCTATAAATATGCACTCAAAATGTTGTTTCACTTATTTAGTTAGATAGAATAAATTGATCTAGACTGCGTGATTATGAGTTTAGCCATAAAGAGTGTATAATTGTGATTTCTAAAGTGAAACTATCACAGATTGTATTGTAATAACAGAACAGAGAATAATAACTCGTCTTGTCAATTGTGTTGTAAAGTAACTGAACCAGCCTGTATGTACTTTGACAAAAATAGACGATTATTTAAAGCTCTGAATACAACTGTGGTGATTAATTTTGTAACATACATTTGTACATACGTTTGACCTAACAGATACATCTGTTGAGGTATAGATGGACATCACAGGTATAGCTGTCATAGATGCAGAATCTGAAGACAGTGATTTTGTCATAGAAGATGAAGACCTACTAGACCTAAGAGTGCTTGGTGGAGATGAGATGTTCAAATATATCAACATCAGTGAAGAACTGACTGCCAAGCAGAAAAAGAGCTACAAGATCTACTGTGCTAGTACACAGATGTTTTCACAAATAGACTAGGCAAGAAAGACCTTGTGCAACACGAGATTGAGACCACGACCAGGGATCCAGTCAAGGCGAAGCCCTGTCAGATGCTTAATGTGATGAGAGACTAGATCAAGCAAGAAGTTGAGGCAATGCTAGAAGTTGGAATCATTGAGCCTTCGAAGCCAGCCTACTGTTCACCAGCGGTAATCGTGAAGAGGGACAGCTCAAACCACTTCTGCACAGATTTCTGGAAGCTAAACCTCGTGACAAAGTTCGACTCCAAACCTAAGGGCAACTCAGAGGCTATCTTGACAAAACTAGATGGGCCCAAGTTCTTTACCAAGATTGACTCTCAGTAAAGGTTACTTGTAGATCGTGATGGAGACAAGATCTAAAGACAAGACAGCCTTCGTAACACGGCGGGTGCTACCAGTTCAAAATGATGCCATTTGGGTTAATCAACTCAGAATCAACATTCAACTGCATGATGAAGAATATGTTGCACAAAACCACCAACATTGAGCCTTATGTGAACAATAGTTTGACCCACACAGATATATGGGAAGAACACCTGAAGAAACTCAGAGAGCTGTTCAGGTGAGTGAGGACAGCAGGTCTGACTATCAGAACATCTAAGTGTTACATCAATTATTCTGTGCTGGACTTTGTTGGACACAAGGTGAGCGACCAATAGATAGACATGGAAGAGGAGAAGCTAACCCACATACAAGATGCACAAGATCTGATGACCTAGCAGCAAGTCAAATCCTTCCTGGGGTTAGCAGGGTACTATAGGAAGTTCATCTCAAACTACAATGAAGTCGCTGCACCATTGACTGATCTGACCAAGAAAGGCCAACCCAACAAGGTGAATAAGAAACAACCACAGCATATGACATTCCAGAAGTTGAAGAACATTTCAAAAGGACAGACTTCAACAAATCGTTCATTGTCGAGGTTGGTGCATCAGATGTTGGAATTGCAGCAGTACTTCTGCAAAAATATGTTGATGGACTGATTCTATGTATTTTCATGTTTTATACATTACTTGTTCTGATCATATGAGTCATCTTTACTTCAATCATTAAATACAGTTTATTTAACTTTTCAACTTATTGGATCAACTAATCTAGTAGTGCTTTCCATCTATACAATCCTCTATTCAAATTTCTCTGATAAATAATTTGTTTGTATTTGTTGCTTGTTCTCACTGGTTCTCGCATCTTTCATTTTACCATTAAAAATCACTACATTTGTCCTTCCACATGCTAGGTAATCGAATATCTTATTGTTGCAGAGATCAGATAACTATGCGATTGGTTTATCTTTGAACAACCAATTTTTTCTTAAAAGAATGTATACTATTTTTGCGAAATCAACTAGATGTGCTATTTTGAAGTATTTTGTTAATATCACTATCAAACTTCTTTCTAACACTGAAAGGGAGTGTAA